CCCCCCCCCCGAACTGTCAAAGCTATGGAATGTTGAACAAATCCACCCTTACCTGAGCAAATAACCAGGAAAGAGTCCTCTTGAAGATCACCCAGGGCGTCAACAGAACACTCCCATCATTCGCCGTCTGCCGAGACATAAAGCACACCCCCTGATAATCGAAGATGGTGATCTTCTCGTAGATGCCCTCGTTCACCATGCTCATGAGAACAGGGCCCCTGACCTCCCCGAAGAATCGTCCTGCATCAGCCTCGTCTGACGAAGCGAGGATGAAGGCGTTGTTGTCGATGAGGTAGCACCCCAGGGACGAGTCGTTGCAATGATGATTGCAGTTGGATCCTCCATCACAGTTGAACGTGATGTTCTGGAAGATGGATTGGAGGGCTGTGTGCTTGAACTGAAAGCCCACGACTGCCGCTGGGGCTTTGCCTTTTCCATTGCCCCCTGGAACATTTGACCATGATTGATGTCTAATTATCGCCCGTCATCGACCCTCTCATCCCAGATGCGGAATTCTAAGATTGGTTCAATTACTCCCTATGACCACACTTCAACCTGTGGTAACCCCTATGTAAAACCAAGCTAACGTACCTGTGAATATCGCACGACTGGCTGTCACTAGGGTCGAGTCATCCGCGATCTCATCAGGCGGAATGGAGAACACGAAGCTGTCTGGCTGAATGTAATGCTGCTCTACAGCTCGTTTATACCAGATTTCATCGATCGCTCTGGGGTATATTCTGCTGAAGTGCTCGTCAGGTAGCATCGGGTCTCCCGTTTCCTCCTGAGCGAGGTCCTGCCACCTTGTCAGACCACTGTGTGTCGCCATGAAGGCGAGAACCAACTCGAACCGATGTTGGAACTCTTTCCTACGGAAAAATTATTCAAAATCAATTCTTCCCGGAAAACTAATCCATCAGGCAAAGCTTCGAGGGTTTGGGGATAAGTTTCTGTGGCTTGATTTTTAAGTGATATTCGGTCTCGTTGGTTATTCCTCATGATTCTCTTGGGTCGTCGAGGTTAATCTGTAAACAAAATGGCTGCCACCGATATTCGGCGCTGAAGACATCGAGAAGCTTGGTGCATAGTGAGCATCATAAATAATGAAATGGAAGTTTGGTTGAAGAATGAGTCTTGAAGGACGAGGGAGAGGTGGAAAATCAGGAGTCACATTGTGAGGAAAAGTGAGGATTGGGTGAAATTATGGTAGAGAGGAGTGGAGATGATAGAAAATCATGTATTTTTCAATGAATAAAAAATTAAGGTGCGATGTGAAGGCGTTACCTGGGCAGGCGATTCATCAGCCTAGCTAAAGGTCTGCATGGCGTCAAAGTGGTTAAACATTAGTAAGAAGGAAACAGGTGTAATCACTAATAAAAAAAAACTGCACACAGTGGGTGATCAAATGCAGTGCAGTGTGTGTGTTATTCATTACACATTATCGCGGCCTAAGTCTCGGTTATTATTTCAATTTCTAGGGTGACGAACTAATTTCTAACTCTGCACGCTTGTGTGAAACGATCAACGGAGCAGGCAAATCCATTCATTCTGTGTTTTATTTTTATATATTTTTTGTTGTTGTTAAGGCACAAACGCGAGTAGTGACGTGTGGGCTTTGTGGTGTTTCTTTTTTCTCACCCTTTCTCCTCGCGTGTGGTGTTGATGTTTGCAAACCACCCGGTTACCTTTGCATCGTGTACGAGACTTTGGAATAGGTGACGGTCGCAGTAGAATGAGTCCTTGCCTGATGAGGAGGAACTTGCTGAAAGGGGAATGGTATTAAATGGTGAGTGTCGCGAGGTAGAATGGAATTTTCTTTTTATTTTTTAGATGAATGGTGAAATTGGAATGGATTAGGTTTCATTGTTCAGTTTGAGGGGAATCCCATGGTTCCATGAGACCTCATCACTGGGTCCGTATAACCAATTAGAATGGAGCAACTAGAATTGGCGGGAAAATTCGGCGATCTTATTGGCGATGGGAGAAACGCCATTAGCGCCATAACGTTGAAGTAAAGTACTACTTCATGGCACCATGAGGTGCATGAAAGTCAAGACGACAGTACGTTTCATCTTATTTGCACTTATTTTTCTCAGGACACATCTATTGTCTTCTATTGGATTTTTCTTTTTATCTAGAAACTCTTGAGATGAATGGTGAAATTGTAATAGGTTAGGTTTCATTTTATAGCATGAGGGAAATCCCATGGGATCTATGAGACCTTATCACGTAGATTCTGATTGGTCGTATGACCAATCAGAATTGAGCAACTAGAATTGGCGGGAAAATTCTGTGATCTCATTGGCGATGAGAGAAATGTCGTTAGCGCAATAACGTCGAAGTAAAGAACAACTCCATGGCACCATGAAGTGTATGAAAGTTAACAAGACAATATATTTTTTCTTATTTGCACTCAGTTTTCTCATTTGCGTCTTAGAAAGAGTTCACTGGTTTCCAAAAGAGGGAGAATCGTATTTAAGGCGCATCTATTGTCTTGTATTGGACTTTTCTTTTTATTTTTAAATTCCCAAGTCGAATAATTGGACCTGACAAATTCTACTTAGGTCTTTCCGTTCAGAACTGGATAGGTCTTGGGAAGCCTCTGCCCAAGTGCTTCCGAGACCTTTCTACCTCTGGTTATGTCCCATTTCAGCACTTGTTAGGTGTAAGCAGGACTTGCATTCAGACTTTCCAAATCCTTGCCGGTCCCCGTAATTCTATGGGCCTATATTAAATCTGCGTTCATATCCCTGTTTACTCATGCGTTATTGAAATAAAAAATGCAATTATTGTTTTTTTTTTTAATCTCGAAAATCGACATTACACGGGAGGGTGGAGGGGAGATGATGTATGCGGAGGNGCCTGTGGCCCCTGGTGAAAAATTTTTTTTTTCATTTTTCACTTTTTCCACATACTTTTGATAGTTCTGAATAGCCCGTCGCTTAAAGTATATGGAAAAAGTGAAAACTGAAAAAAAGTTTTTTCACCGATTCAAAGGGTCAGATTTGGTTTTTCCAGGGGAAGGTCGACTTTCGCCAAAATTGAATTTTTTAGCCGGTGAACGTTGATTCTGACTATTTAAGCTGACGGGCTATCAGAACTGTCAAAAGTTATGTGGATAAAAGTGAAAACTGAGAAACCGTTTTTTTTGGCCCCAGCCAAAGGGTCAGAT